ATGGAGGTTACCATCAGATCGCTATTTATGAGCCACACCAGGAGGTCACATCTTTTACAACGCCCAGAGGATTGTATTGTTACAAGGTCATGCCCTTTGGCCTAAAAAATGCAGGGGCCATATTCCAACGGATGGTCACCAAAATGTTTGAACCATTGTTAGGCACAACAATGGAGGCTCACATAGATGACATGGTGGTCAAAAGCAAGGATGAGAAAGACCATCTCAGGGACCTAGACGAAATGTTCCAAATCCTAAAGAGGAACAAGTTGCGTCTAAATGCATCTAAGTGTGCATTCGGCGTAGGATCAGGCAAATTCCTAGGCTTCCTGGTGACCAACCGAGGTATAGAAGCAGACCCTCTCAAATCAAAGTGATCCAAGATCTAGAGAGGCCCAACACAGTAAAAGAGGTGCAGCATCTCACTGGCCTAGCTGCCGCACTCAACCGGTTCATAAGTCGGTCGTCAGATAGATGTCGACCATTCTTCCAAGCATTAAAGGCCAAGTTTGAGTAGGATGAAGAATGCGACCGTGCCCTAGAAAGCTTGAAAGAGTACATGACTTCTCCATTGTTGCTAGTAACCCCTGTACCTGGAGAAGAGCTCTTTTTGTACCTAGCAGTTTCACAGCACGCAGTCAGCGCAGTGTTGGTCAGAGCGGAAGGAATCCAACACGTGCCTATCTTTTATGTTAGCAAAACCTTTCTGGGCGCAGAAACCAATTACCTACCATTGGAAAAACTAGCCTTAGCCTTGATGATGGCCTCAAGGAAGCTGTCGCATTACTTGCACGCACACACCATAATCGTCCTAACAGCTTTTCCCTTAAAAGCTTTGTTTGAGAGGGCGGAATTTTCTGGGCGAATCTTGAAGTGGGCGGTGGAATTACGACAGTTTGATATCAAGTTTCAACCCAGAACTGCAATAAAAGCCCAAGCTTTGACAGACTTTGTGGCAGAGTTCACACAAGGAAGTCATCACATCTGTCCAGTTGACTTGACTGGTATAACCGAAATGGGAACGGAAAGTGCCGCAGGAAATGCGCAACCCCTGATACAGGATACCCAGCCACATTACAAACCGCACAGGCTTGAGGATCATAAGGAAGGAATAAACCATACCATTCTCAGTGAGGACTCATCAACTAGTCAAAACTTGGGGCAGTCAAATAGTGAAGAGCAAACCCTAACAGCAGGCTGTAGACACCCCATTCTTTGACTGTCCTCAAGACTTGGACATCACCATTTGAACACTCAGTGATCATTCATGTTCGTGTTCGTCTTGAGTTCTCGAAGGTTTCGGTGTCGCGCCTTGCCTCAAGACCCCTCGACTTGTTTGTTTTGTGCTTGGTTGTGCACCAAACACTTGTGTTTTTGCTTCTGAGGGCAGGGAATGGCTTGTTGGCCATCCCCACACCTCACCAGCCTTGGCTTGAGGCCACCGGCCTTGTTTTCTTGCTACTGGCCAAATATTTTGATCGGTTGGCAATGTTTTTGGTCGGCCGGCCATTTTTGTTAGTTAATCGGCCATATTTTTCGGCCGACCCCTTTCTATCTGCTTTTGGCAGATATTTTATACCAGCTGTCACAGCTAGCATCCATAATACACCCTCTCTATACGCGTGTATGGAGGGATTTGCTCCCTTGTGTTGGCTTCTCCAAGAAGCTTAGGAATTGAATTCCTATAAAAGGAGGGCCTCCCCTTCCTTTCCAGGGATTGAACAACCTATGATATATGTATATATCACTCTCTCTCTATATCTCCCCCTCTCTCTATATTTGTGTGTGTAATAGTGTTCAAAAGGGGTTTTTGTTCTTAGTTTTGCACTAAGACACCTAGTGTTACACTATACTTTGGTTGCTGAGGTTTTAAGGGGTTGATTTCAGAGTTTTGAGTTGGTTTTTGATCAAAAAGAGGTGCTAGAGTTGGTTTTCTTGAAGTGTTCTTCAAGGGTGAGAACTTACCTTTTTATTCTCCATTTTTACTTAAGGTTTTAGACCTATTTTCATATTGTTTCAAACTTAGTGTATAACTGATAAAAGTTCTGTATTTTCATGCTCGTTATAGTTGCTTAAGGTCATTTTGGTGTTGGGGGTTGTCTACCCCCTCTTATGCCTTTTTGGGCTTTGGAACCCTTCGTGTATTGACCTTCCCACCACTAAAATCCAGAGGATTTTCAGTGGTGGAGAAGTGGTTTTGAGGTCTTGTATGGGGGAGGGACATCCCTCTTCCCTTGTGACTCATTTGCTTGCATTTAGGGCTCATAAAGGTAGCATGTTTGCATAGCTTTATTTGGCTCCATTTTAGAGGGTATTTGGTGTTAGTCTATTATGTTAGACCTCTGTTTCATATTGGTTCGATGGCCTATTGTTTGCATTATGCACTTGCTTTGTAATCCCCTCTATTGTCATAATATGTATCATGCATTTAGACCATCATACTTGCATATTTTAGCTTAACTTCATGAAGCTCTTATCCATGTTTTGACATGTTTAAGCTCTGTTTGGTGTTGATTTGGTCATGTTTTCCATGTTTCGTATAGCCACCATGTATCCTAGCTTGTTAGCTTTGAGTGTATGAGTCATGAGCATGCTTTATTTGGGTTATTTCAGTAATTTGGAATCATTTATCATGCTATTTTAGTCCATGCTCCATGCTTGTATGCTTGCATTTACCATCCTTTCAAAGCTTTGAAGAGTTGTTCTTTTGTGCCTTAAAATAGGTCATTGTGCATGCCTCTTTGTTTAAGTTCTTGGGCTGCCATATCAGTGGGTTTTGGGGCTCCTTTTGGCATATTATAGCTCTGTTTTTCTTTGAATAAACCATGCCATGTGTGGTTGAGGCAGTTGTAGTGGAGTGGTCTCTTTGTGGCTTTGAATGTCCCTCATTTTTGCGCCCATTTCCTAGCATGTTTTGGCCTCATCCCATGCATGTTCTAGCATTATTTTGGCCTGCCATGGAACTGTTTTGGGTCACCTTGGTCCTTTGGGGCTTGGTTGATATGGCCATGGTTCAAGTCCTTTGGCTAGCTTTGAGCTTACTTGAAGGGAACAACTGATTTTGGCATATTGTACAAGAAAGGAGAACAATCTGGTCTAATTGGTTTCACTGATAGCGATTATGCTGGTGATTCCAATGATAGGAAAAGTACATCCGGTTACGTTTTTATGATGGGCTCAGGTGTGATCTCATGGTCATCAAGAAAGCAACCTATTGTCACTTTGTCCACCACTGAAGTGGAGTTTGTTGCTGCAACTTCGTGTGCCTGTCAAGCTATCTGGTTGAGAAGGTTACTTGAAACACTACAGCATCCTCACAATGGTTCCACTCCCATTTACTGCAATAACAGTTCAACGATCAAGCTTTCAAAGAATCCTGTTCTCCATGGCAGAAGCAAGCATATCGATGTACGATATCACTTCTTACGTGATCTAGTCAAGGATGGAACTCTAGATCTGAAGCATTGCAGAAGTGAGGATCAACTCGCAGATATTCTGACTAAACCCCTCAAATTACCTGCTTTCTTGAAGCTACGACATCTACTTGGAGTGTGTTCTGTAGTTAATTCTGATGTGAAATAACCCACTAAACTGAATGTTTGCAGTACACTCAGTTTAAGGGGTGGTGTTAAGAATTTAGTTGAGTCTTGTCCTGTTTTTTCTGGCATTGACCACTTCTTTAGGAACTGAATAAGTCTGCTGTAGACTTGGTAGAATTTCCTTCTTTCATGTTGAGTCAGTTCCTTATTTTGAGAATATTCAGTTGTGTAAATTTCTATTTAAACAACATCAGTGCAATGAATAAACTAAGACTTTTGATCTCTATGTTACTGTAAGTTAACAGAGGATGCTCTATAAATGCCTCTCTCCCTAACTTTTATTCCAAAACATATAGGATTGGTTACTTATCTTCTAATGTGCAAAAAATTAAAATATAAAAAATATTTAAATATAATATTTCGGTCAGTATTGATGCAAAAAATTTCAGAACCAAAATAAATAGTATTTTACAAGAAATCAACAGAAAAATCACTAGGAGGAGTATAGGAAATGGAAAACTGCATCACTTAACGCTTTACGAGGCCAACCCCTTAGTGTCTTTTCACATGACATTTGTAGATAAATTAAAATAAGCAAGGCTCAACTCCACACTTGTAAAGTTGTAATCATGATTAAAAAATGATATTGGACCATAACCATCTTGACATTCTTTTCTGGTAATCACCATTACCAGGGAATCCATGTAGGACCCCAAAAATTTATTGAAATCAAATAGTATTTGTATATTTTCTCTTTATTTTATTGCGTGATGGGTTTAACTTATTGGATAGAGTGTGTCAAAAAATGAAGAGAGCCAATGAATTTTAACAATATATTTATATGAAACTGAGTAATTTAAATAAGGTTGTTGGAATCTAATCATCAATTTATTATTATTTTTTATTTTCTTGCGTGATGGGTTTAACTTGTCGGATAGAGTGTGTCAAAAAATGGAGAGAGCCAATGAGTTTTAGCAATATATTTTTATGAAACAGAGTAATTTAAATAAGGTTGTTGGAATCTAGTCATCAATTTTTTATTGTTTTTTTCTTTAATCAATTAAAGGGATTTCAGTAGATGATGGATCTTTATTCTTTTTAATGGTTGTTGGCATAGTTTCATTTCATCATGGTGACTATCGACTGATTGAGCTTACCAAGTCATATTTCAATAGGAAGGTGCAAATAGACAAGAAAAAGAAACAAAAATCTGATAAAAAAATACTAACCAAAATTTTAGGATGATTATCGGGTGATTTCAATTCTAATTATATTATAATTCATTGATGCATGCAGGCGTGTGTAGGTTTATTCATATATATGTTCTCATTGTGGTTAATTATATGGAGATTTAGCTGTGTTTTATCACTTTTATGGTGTTACAATTTGAATAATTTGATCAAATGTAAACATTATGCTAATAAAATTCAAATATTTTTGTGACAGCCATATCACAGCGAGTGCAGCCTTCTTGATCACAACAATTTCTGGATATCCAGCAAGCGTATTGTGACACCAAAAGGGGTGATTTCTGGTGCAAGTCCGTCTAATAAGTGATTTTTGTATTAAGAAAGGTCATTTTTCATAAATTTTCACAATACCACGAAACATCATAGTAGATAGATATATGAATCATTACCAATACTTAAAAAGTCTATAATTACTATTTACTACATAAGTATGCATTTGCCAAACTTTAGATTCCATTTCATCATTATAGTATACCCATTATATTTAGTACAATACTATACAATTTCTTCAAGCAACAATCTTCTGTAGTGCTGTTGATTAATTTTATGTTATTTACTTCTTACTTTTTAATCAAAGCTGTAAATGATCAGTTGAGGTCAAAGGAGGAAACATTGCGTCTGTAATGGAAGAGGATTGGCAAGAGAATGTCGGGACTGGACAAGTGATTGATTATGGGGAGGCTGTTGTCATGCCTGGTCTGATCGATGTGTAAGATGAGGCAACCATCTTCTTATGAATTTACTTTATTTCTTTGACTTATATAAAATGAAAGAATAATTTGTCTTTGTGTTGTTTACTTTTCCTTCTTTCTTCTTTTGCCATACACTAGATGTCGAAAATGGGCCAGGGACCAAAAATACTCTCGTCATAAATAATGCGAGAGCCATAAAAAGCTGATATTTTAAATTTAAAAGTGAGGGCATGGAAAATATAGCATGATATATGCATATAGGACAGGAATATTTTAATGTCAAGTCAATGTATTAATAGATAGTAGGAATTTTGATTACGATTAAGATTTCATTACTTCCAAAGGTATTAAGATGGCAAAACATGATAGGAAAATAATTTTGAGATGTAAGAAGTCTTTGATATTCCCTAATGAAAAAAATGACAACTTCATGGTTACAGACTTCCTAATTCTTTATTATTGAATTGTCTGTTGAAAAACCGTCAAAATTTAAGTTTGTTAGCAAGCGAATTATCTATTGGTTGCATATTAAATGATTGCTAAAGCAGGATATTATTCCCTATGACCTGCAAAGGAGTTTAGAGAAAAGATTTTAACAGTGGGAACAATCCTCTTTAGTAAAAACTCTAGCATTTGATTTATATTTTAATATATTTGTTTCTTTTTGAACCGAAAAATTAATGAGATGACCCTTTTTTTCTTTTTCTTTCTGGAAGTTCTCAGAATGGGCACATTTCTGTTAGTACTCGTGGTTTATTATTATTTTTTAAATTTGTTTGGTAAACAATTGAAACCTATCTTTTATTTTTTGCATATTAAATGATTGCTAAAGCAGGATATTATTCCCTATGACCTGCAAAGGAGTTTAGAGAAAAGATTTTAACAGTGGGAACAATCCTCTTTAGTAAAAACTCTAGCATTTGATTTATATTTTAATATATTTGTTTCTTTTTGAACGAAAAATTAATGTGATGACCCTTTTTTTCTTTTTCTTTCTGGAAGTTCTTCAGAATGGGCACATTTCTGTTAGTACTCGTGGTTCATTATTATTTTTTAAATTTGTTTGGTAAACAATCGAAACCTATCTTTTATTTTCAACACTCAATTCTCTGCAGTAAAATTTTCTCTTGCATTGTACTGGATGGAGGTCTCATTCACAATTTTTCCTGGAATGTTGCAATTTTCCTAGATTACATCATTGTTCTCTGGTGAACCAGATTGTACACAGCACGTGTATAGCGATCCCGGTTTCCCTTTTCTTTAATTGTTGTATTCGGACTTAGGTTCCGTGGAGTTAGTTGCTGTGTGCGTCTTATTTACATCCTTTACTCATTGTGTTCGAGTCTTGGGTTGTGTTGGGCAGGTTTGAAACAGGTTGGTTGAATTTGGAAACCAAGAGTAGTTGCCCAGATTTTGGCCTTCACGCTCGAGCGGGCCCTTCGTTGTTGTCTGTCCGCTCGAGCGGGGTTTTCGACGCTCGAGCGTAGTTTTCCATCTTCCAGTATCTCCTCTGCAGTGTTGTACGCTCGAGCGGGATTTTTGACGCTCGAGCGGGATGTTGTGTGTGACGCTCGAGCGGGAGAGTTGACGCTCGAGCGGAGACCTGGTTCTGTAAAAGTTCTGGAAGTGTGTATCCGCCGCTCGAGCGGGATTGTTGACGCTCGAGCGGGAGTCTGTGAGTAACGCTTGAGCGGGGCGTTGGACGCTCGAACGGGGCAACTGGGTTAAAGCTCCGTGTTTTGATCTTTTAAATCACTTTTTCCACTTCTCTTATCTCTCTTACTTTTTCAAAAACACCATTGTTGAGCCTCTCACTCTAGAGCTCTACCTTCTCTCTAGGTATTAATCTAGTAGGAGTGATTTCCTCACCTTTGGCCTTTACAAAAAAGTTGTTGATCGTCGAGGGCTATCTTTTGATCCGAATAGTTTGTGGTTTGGAGCATTTTCATTTCCATCATCTTCTTGGTTGGGTGTCATTCTTTGAGGTAGGGATAACATACTCCTTACTATGAGCTTTGTCTTTAAAATTTAGTATTTTGAGATGTTGGGGTTGGTTTGGTAATTTTGTGAAAGTTTGGAACTTTTGTGTAAATTTACAAAAGTTGGGGTTTTAGCTATATAAAGCCTAGATGCATGTTTGGCATGGAAAAAAAGTGAAATTAATGTTAAAACATTAATGAAAATGGAACCTAAGGGTTGTAATGTTAATTATGGAAAATGTCCTAATTGCATCGGTTGATTAATTTGTATAATTAATTGTTGGAAATGAGGAATTGAATTGAGAATGTGGAAATTGGAAAGGGAAAGGCGTTAAGGGGTGTAGTTGGATTATGTATCGCTCACCTGGTTGAAATGTTGATTGTATATCCATTGTTGCATTTATTTATTTTTTTGTATAGAAATAAATGCTTTGGGCTATCGGTGGAGGATAGTCTTGATTGTTGTAGACAATGCATGATGATTAGGCAAAATCAATGAAATGTGTCATGGAACTTGACGGTTGATAGAATACATTAATGTTATGTATTGATTGATTGTGTATATGACCTTTGTGTATATATGCATTGTGTGTGTGAGAGGAGATATGAGATGTACTCCACGGTTTAGGGTAAGATAGGGGATGGACCTCTAAACCGGATGTTGTTGGGAGGAGATAGGGGATGGACTCCGTAGATAGGGCTCATATGCTTATCTAGTGATGTATTGACAGAGTTCATATGCTTGTCATTGGAAGTGTGATAGTGCTTATATGCATATCTGTGGAATTGATGATATAGCTTGTATGCTTATCTGTTGGTATGTGATATAGCTAGTATGCTTATCTATTATGAAATGGGGAAGTGCTTGATATGAGTTACTATCTCATATGAGTTGTTTGGCCAGGTTCTGAGCCACGGTTACAAAATGAGAATTGAAAGGAACTAGAAAATGAATTGTAACATGGAATTGTATGTCTTGAAACTGTAAAGTGTGATAAGAGAAAGTATCACTGTTGGCCATATATCAACTGCTAATCTTTTAGTCATTGTTCATATTTGGTTTAGTGTATTTCTACTATGCTGTGGCTCACCCTATATGGGAATATCATTTTCAGGTACAGGTAGCATGCCACCTCCAAGGACATAGCTTGGGAGGCTAGAGGCGGACACACTTTTGTCGTTTTTTTTGATGTATTACATGTAAATTCAAGCCAAGGGCTTAATGTGTAAATGAGTTAGTACTCTTTTATTGTAACCAAGTGTTAACTTGGAAAGCTGTAAGCCCGTAGGGCATTTGCTTTTGTCGTTAACATGTAATACTTTTTGTAATGGAACTCTGATGAATAGAAGAATGTGGAGTTTTTATGTATCAATGCATGTCTATATTGATGGGTTTAATGTTATTATTTTGAGGGCGTTACAACGTGCAACTAGTGGGGCATGGTTTCGCTATTTGAATTCCCACCTGGATTGATGATTCCGTTTGAACCAGGTGGAACGGGTCGGACTGATCCACGCTCCTCAAGCCTGTGTCCAAATGACCAAGTCCACCAGAAGACCTGCACAAGAGTTCAACGGGGAACGGGGAGTCCTCCAGCGAACCCTCCGATGAGCAAGTTAGAGAGAGAAGTAGAATGTAGAGTTGGATTAGAGATAGAAAATTCTTCCCGTCTTCGACGTCTGCTTATATCCTCTGGTAATCTGTTAAAATATATGTATTATTGATTGATATATGTTGATGTGTTGTGATATTGATATTACAAGGATTCCTATTATATAGGAGAGGATTTGGGTAGTAGGTGAGGAGTAGGTGAGGGTACATTGGTGGTAGGTGTAGTAGGTGTGGTAGTAGGTGGTGGTAGGTGTAGGTAAATTCTAACAGCCCCCCGCAAACTCAAGGAGGATAGAAACTAACCAACTTGAGTTTGAAGAGAGAAACAAAACAAGAAAATACATAAAAATAAAAAAGGATAGGAGACACTGTATGGTCGTGTCAGACCAGTGGTGAAGACACTGTATGGGGGTGTCATAACGTTGCAGAGGACACTGTATGGTGGTGTCATAACGTTGTAGAGGACACATATTGTGACAGTTGTTGTGACAGTTACGCGAGTCTGCTACCCTTGTAGAAAAACTAACTGGAAAATTCCAAATGTCGGGACAGTTTACAGAGTCTTGTCGGACCCTTGTAGGAAACTAACCGAAATCAATGTCGGGACAGTTTACAGAGTTCTTGTCGCGAACCATATAAAGAAGCTAACCCGAAAATTCTAATGTCGCTGAACAGTTTACAGAGTTCTTGTCGACCCATAAAGGAGCGTAACCGGAATCAATGTCGGGACAGTTTACAGGTTTGTCGGACCCCTAAAAAGTCGCCACCCTCAAAAGTGTGCCCAATCTATCAAAAGCGTGCATCCAAAAAAGCGTGCCCAATCCAAAAAAGATGTGCGGACATTTGTGGATGGCGAGCACGTGAGTGCCTTGGCTGGCGCGCCCGTTGTCGTCTGGCGAAGTGGGCGCGCAGATACGCCCGTGGCTGAGCCCCTTGGCATATACCAAGACGAAAGCAGAGAAAAAACTGAGAGAAACCTCTGAAAAAATCCTTCAGTGTGCTGAGAAAAGAGTCCTTGTCACGAGAGACGATAGTCTGCTAACACTTTGTATGCCCAGAAAAGGCTTGTCTTCCCGTGGACTGCTCACCCTCTTTCCGACCTCAGCGAGTCAACAAAGTAGAGAACTGGAGCGGTGCACTGGAACCTCAACCGATTGCCCCGCGAGTTTACTCCGCTGAACTTTCCGATGCGGTCTTGGCAGCAAGAATTGCAGTGCAGTCGTATGTGGAGCCAATCAGTATACATTAAAGGTCATGTGTGGAAACCCATGACTGCGGGTTACAAAACTTGTCGAAACGGCCTGCCAGAGCTAGGGCAAATGAGGCTGCAGCAGTTAAACTCCCAGCGGCTCTGCCCAACGCATGTATAAGATGCGGCGAGCAGAGATAAGTGTGCTGAAAGCAGAAAAAACAAGGAGCTGAAGCGCGAAAGCCACCGTGATGTTCCGATTTGGAGGGCCGCCATATGCTGCAGTGGAGGAGCAGGGAGTAGTGATCATGCCCAGTGGAGTGGGTGACACAGAGGCAGCACCGTCAAGGGCCTCGCAGGACGGAGGCAAGAAGAAGAGACCGGCGGCAGAGTAGAGAAGAAAAATCCCACCTGTGGATGTGGTGGTTTGTTTTGTTGTTTGTTGTTTGTTGTTGTTGTTGAAGTTGTGTTTTTTTTTTTTTTTTTTTTTGGTGTAAAAGGGTGATCGGGGTGAGCCCCGACATGAATAAAATATGTGTGTTGTGCAAAGTGGTCAAATGTTTGTTTTTTTTTTTGTTAAATGGAGCATGGGGATGATGAATATATAATGATGAATAAAAATATAATAAAGGTGGGAGTGAGGAACAGACTGTAATGGGTTCTGAAACGGTGGGATGAAAGAGAAAAAAGAATATTTCAAAAAAAAAAAATATAAAAAAAAAATAATAATAATAATAAAAAGAATGGGTTTTAAAAAGAAAAAGGAGGAAGAGATAAAAAAAAAAATAATAAATAAATAAATAAACAAAGTAGTAATGGAAAAAAGTTGTTGCTGGCTCTCTCTCAGCATCACGTGGGTGGTGTAAAGAGAGCGGTTGTAAAGGGTGTGTAGAAAATAATAATAAAAGAAATGAGTGGAGAAGGTTGATTAAAAAAAAAAAAGATGGTGGGTTTGAAAGTGGAAATATGACAGAGAGATTCATAATTGTCTTGTCGATAAAGCTCTTTCATGATGGCAACAACACGAGCGAACGGCGATTGGTCAGGAGATCATGGTTGCGGAATCGGCGAGAAATGCATGGAAAATGTTGGTTTTCCAGATTCAATCATTCCAAAGTCGAGAGAACATCAGAGAAAGGGCTTCAAACATGGATTGAGATTCTCTCTCTACTCTCTCTCTAAAGTGCGAGGATAAAAATGAGATTTGGAGTAGCAAACCGCGCTTTGCCTTTGGTACCAAAACACTGTTCTCTCTCTCTCTCTCCCTCTATGTTCGGAGATGACAGATTCGATATATTGGTCTCGGGCTAGAGAGAGAGAGAGAGAGCTTCGGAGATTTTGTAAATTGTCGGTAGAGAATGAGTCGTCCACGAAGTTCGAGAGCCATTCCAGCTCAGCCACGTCGTCGTACGGAACGCAGAATTCGCCAGAGAATTGAGCATCAGTAAAACTCCGGCGAACAAAATTGACGGAGAACTGAGATTCGTTGCCGAAAATCGACGCGTTGCAGCCATCAACGACCATGACGGTCGAAGAATCAGCAGAATTCCAGGGAAGATTGTCGAAGAAAGCATCGTTCATAATAACTTGAGCGTCTTTGGAGAAGTCGAGTAGGTCGTCAATGGTGAATTGGTTATTACCAAACGGTTTGTGATCGGAGAAACAATTTTCCAGCGAGAAATCCTTGTTTCCTGGGGCTGAAAAATAGCCGCCAAAGAAGATCTCCGGAGCCTCCATTGGTGTTTGGTAACGGTTCCTTGGGAATTTAGAGACAGAAAAAGAGAAAGAAAACGGGCGGACTAGGTTGAGGTCCGGCGGGCGGCCAAGGCGAGGTTGCCGCCCGCCGGTGAAGCGAAAAATACTAAGTGTTTAACCTTGCTCTGATACCATGTTAAAATATATGTATTATTGATTGATATATGTTGATGTGTTGTGATATTGATATTACAAGGATTCCTATTATATAGGAGAGGATTTGGGTAGTAGGTGAGGAGTAGGTGAGGGTACATTGGTGGTAGGTGTAGTAGGTGTGGTAGTAGGTGGTGGTAGGTGTAGGTACATTTTAACATAATCATTTCGTTGTCCCTTCCGACCTGTCACCTTGGCCGAAAGTCTATGCTCTAGCTTACCTTGTTCATGGTAAAGTCGTTTTGTCCCGACGGAGAGGGGTTATCGCAACAAATGCTATAAGGGGCTTCATTAATGGCGATGTGCAGTGGCAATAACTTTGCAGATCTTTGTCTGCTTATGTGGCTTGCCCTTCTCTTGCCATGTGTCTTGATGTCATTGGTTCTCGTTGCTACGTGGGGCTTCAGCCATGCTGGGCTTTAGTACTTGAGTTATGTATTGGGTCCTAAATGGTGGGATATAATCTTTATGGGTTTACTCATGTCATGGATGATTAAAAAATGATATTGGATTTTCCATACATCTGATTCATGTATTTGCTGAAAAACTTATAGAGTTAGGTTCATTGATCAAGTAGTTTTTGAGGGTTTTAAATTCTCTTTGATATGAGATTCACAAGTTACCTTTATGGCAGGCATGCATATCTTGATGATCCTGGAAGAACAGAATGGGAAGGATTTCCTTCAGGGACTAGAGCAGCTGCTGCTAGTTTGTAGATCTCGGTTCTTTATATCTAGTCTTGCTTCGATCATATTTAGGAGAAGAGTTCATAGATTTCTCAGATGCTAATGCTTTAAAACTTTTTGAGTACATGTCTCATTTACATAAATACCTAACCCTATTGGGTTATCTTATATATAGAAATAAGAATTCATTCTTTGTTATATCTAATTATATCTGGTTGTTGGCTTTGTAAATCAAACTTTTATCTGCACATGTAACTACGAACTTAATTAACTTTGTTTATACAGGTGGGTTAACAACTTTGGTTGACATGCCTCTTAACAGTTTTCCATCTACAGCTTCCGAAGAAACTTTTGAACTCAAGGTATGGATGGTTAACACCATTAATTTTTCATTTTTTTACCATGGAGGCTCTGCTTGAAGTTAAAGCCCGTTTATATCTTTCTGTTTAACTCTTCAATTTTCTTCTTTAAAATCATTATAGTAAGCTTGCAATAATCATCATAATCTTATCTCAACTCACTTAAAGAGAATTTTTGACAAAGAAATTTGGAACAATTAAAAAATCAGACTTGGTTTGATCTTCCATAAAATACTGAACACTCAAAAAGTGAACTTCTGAGGAACTTAGCTTCACTTTTTAATTAGGTAGTTAGAAACTTAGAAGTCTGTTCAGAGTTTTTATTTTTAAATTTGATAAGTATGAACAGAAGTTTATGTTCTTAGTTTATATTCTGAGTTTATATTCTTTTGTATTATTGTAGCACCAAAAGTCAGTCTTGGTTGAATCTTTCAGAGACAACTAAACACTCTAAAAGCAAGCTCCCAAATTGTTTTTGAGTTCATATTCTTATTGTAGCAAAACTTGCTGTTACTACTTGCTGTTACTCTCAAACATTGTTGCTCAACACCTGGTATCTCAGAAAACATTTTAATTTTAATTTTATTTTATTGGATTGATTTCCAATTCTCTTTTTTTTTTTGATCGGCAAAAAGAATACTTTATTGATGGAAAAACAAAGATTACATCAATAAAGGGGAGCTTGGAGCTTAAAACAAGCTCCAACCTCCAAGTTGGTGAGAAACCAACGAGCCAAACAAAACAAAGGAAGAACACATTTGAACATTTGAAGCACCAATAACACCAAAACCAGAGCAGGCAAACAGAACAGATAGCCCACAGTTGAAGCACCAAACAGATCAGGTCCTGCAGTTAGTTAGGCACCAAGACAGAACAGATAGCCAGCATTCCTACAAACTAATTAAATACAGCAGCAACAGCAGTTCACCCACCAAGATTGTTAGCCCAACACATCTGCAGTTCACTACTACGGCCCTATTAAACAGGTCATCCTCTGCATCAGTTGCACCAACACAGAATCACTCAGAAACAGCAGTACACAGGTTATAACCTCAGTGCATTAGGCAGAATTTCACATTTTGCAGATTATACACCAGATCATCAACAGAATAGCAAAAGGAAGGACTAAAGGCCCTGAACCACATTGCAAAAGGAAGGACTAAGGACTAAAGGACCAATTCTCTTTGATAATGTGTGTATGTGTTTTTCCTCCCTTTCTCTCCCATGCATCACAATTGCGTACATACCTTTTTTCCATTATTATACGCCATCCTAGCTTTTTGATTACTGTTGCCTGAAGTTGTTGGAGAATTATGTATTAAATTTGAGATTTTTGCTCTTTGCTGTAGTCCTTTATGTGTCCTTCGGGGATCAATGACTTTCCCATGACAAATGCTGGCCATATTAAGGTGCGTTTGGTGTTATTTAGACTGCATATTACAATGATTTATCTGTTTTTCATATGAAATAAATTACAGTGTTATTTGCTGCCACATCTTTGATGTTTACCGATACATTTCCAAATTTATCCACGACTTCACCACTTCTTTGTTATCTGAAAAAAGAAAAGGGGAAGCAATTAAACGGAAATAATCTCTTAGAGACCAAAAGAGTTAATATGTGATGATTGGGAGACCTTATTCAGTTACTTAATGGGCTAACTCGTCTTCTTTCCAACCTTAGGTGTGATTTTGGCTTTAGAAAATATCAAACATTTACGTGCATAAATGGCTCGAAACTTCAACATGAAGAAATATTGCTTTTTTGTTTTTATATTTTTACTATAGGCAATAAAGATGATTCTCTCCCTTTTCTCGCTTTCCTTTTGAAAATGTTCCTACTTGTCTTTGCATAGAGTATCTCAGCCGACATGGGATCAAGACTATCTGGAAAAGTTTTGGCGACTTTCGTGAGAGGCAACCTCGTCTACAAAGAAGGGAAGCACGCTCTTGCTGCCTATGGTGTCCCCATCCTTGCAAGATAATGAGATGAACTTGTAGGTAGTTCTCAATTGTCTTATGAATTTGGCTTACATATTTATTCTCTTTATTAGTGTCTTGACTTTTCACATGCCTGTTTTGTGATCATTTTGCATACCTTTTTTTTTTTTTTGATGAATTAGGTTTCAGTTAAGATGGTTCACCAATTGTGGGGGATCTGGGGGGCAATGTAAGAGAATACCAATCACTTTGATCTGTTGATCTGACTGGGCGTTTCAAGTCATTGGATGATTCTGGCTATGGACCTACTGTTGATTGGTTGTATATTTGGATGCATATGAGGGAAATGTACATATTGCGACCTACAAAAACTGAGCCAAAAAAATAAAAAAAATGAAACCTAGAAAATTTCACTGCAGGATTTTCAATCATTCTAAAAAAGATCACAACTTACTAAGATTAATTTGTCATCTCAATTCTGAGTTCATTGTCACTCACGTCTATCCTCCATAATCAATGAAGTTGGGTTGAATGATGTTTACTTACATGCTTAATCCAAAAAAAAAAATCGAAATAAATGTAGAGCCATTTTGAAAATTTTCATTTTTTCATCCTTTCCCCACTCATCTCTTACGATAATCAACCATTACCCATCACCGTGTCTAGGGATGGCAATTTGAACCCGGCTCGACGAGGGCCCGGATCGCCCCTTTCCGATAAGTCTGGTTTTTCCTGAAAATTATCCCCCATAAGGCCGGGGCTAGTATTGACAAATAGATTCTTGATGACTTTCAGGCCGAGGACAGGGATAGGTTCCCCCACTTCGGCCCAGCCCTGAATAATCCCCGAATCCCCATATATATATATATATGTTGTTTTTCCTATTCACTCATTCACTTCTCTTCTCTCTCTCTCTCTCACATTCATCGACGGTCTCAAAACCTCTCTCACTTAGATCTCTTTCTCCTTCCTTAACATCACTTGCCACCATCTCCATCATCACCGCCGATTGCCGGTACACATTCCTCCACCAAGCAAATCGTACTGTGGTGGTGGAGAGGACAAGATCCATGCGATGACGTCCTCGCTCTTTTCCATTTTCAATTTGGCTCTCTCTCTTGTCTCTTATCTTTGTCTTCTCCGATTTGGTGTATTCATGGGCACAAAAATGCTTGTTCGGCTGTCCTTTGAAATTGATGGGCCAAAGGAAGTTGCAATGAAGCTTGCTGTTAGATTTGATGATGAATCTATCAGTGATGCTACTTATGAAATCATAGGAAGCGGCTTAGTAGGGATTTATTGATTCAGTCAATTGTATTGCGATTAATTTGTTTTTATTTTTTTATATATCTTTTGTGAATGAGATCAAAGGATTGTATATAAGGCTCCCTACAAATAGATTCACAATCAACCAACCACTCCGACTGGAGAGTTTGGCTTGGTGAGAGGATTCTTCTATTATCATATCTTTTCTTTTTTTTTTTTTCTTTTTTTCTTGTTATGTGTAGGTTCTATCAAGTACGATTGATTTACTGTTGGTCATAAATGTGAAATTATTTTGATTATTATTGTTGTTGTTGTTAGATTATTATTGTCGTTGTTGTTATTGTGGTAGATCTAGATCCGTGGAGATCTCACTCTCCCCTCTGTTCCTGCTGTTTTGTTTTTTTTTTTTTACCCGGGAATTTTTCAGGGTCGGGAAAACCTAATCCCCATTAGCGGACGGGGCGGGAAAATTTTCACCATCGGGATCGAAAATAGGGAGTGTGATCCCGACTCTACCCAGCCTGTTGCTATCCCTAACTCTGATAGCCATTAGTATTTCAGGAAAACTTAGCAAGGTGGTCCTTTCTAGGATGGCTAAAATGAAGGACTTTTTGTTCTTTAGATAGGTTTCACAATTGTTTTTTTCTTGTATTTTTTTTTAATGAATTTAAAAAAAAAAAATCAAAATATTTTTCAACTTTAACACTAGATTAGAAGACCCTAATTTTTTTAAAAAAAATTTAAAAATAATAAAAAGTTACTAGAGACCGCAAAAAGCTTAAAAAGACTACTTTTTTTTAAATAAAATAAAATAAAATTTCTTTTTAAAAATTCTTTTAAACTAGAAGGATCTAAAATTAAAAAAATCACTGAAAACAAAAGAAAATTCAAATTTTTTTGTTTATTTTATTTTGTTTTTTGTTTTGTTTACATCAATAGGAGATAATTAAGAATTACATCAAATTAGAAAATTAAAAATCAACAATAGCTAAGTCACTAAGCCCAATGACCATCACAAGAATTATAGTCCAATCTACATACAAGCCAATAATCGAGAGAAATAAACATCTCAAATTCTAATGATAAAATTAAAATTGAAAAGGTCACATCTACTAATTTCATGTTTGGTTGTTTTAAGTTTACCATTAACTTTAACACATATAACTATTGGTTGTTGTTGTTTGGGAAGCTACATCCAAATGTTACCAAGGTTTTGAGTTCGAGTTTTTTAATTTTATTGTTAATTTTAAGACTTTTAAAGATTAGTTATTGACTGTCTAGATACAAGACAACTCAATTAGACTAAACTTGACGAGTGATACTTGAATTATCAAATAATAATAATAATAATAATAATAATTTCAATCTCTTGAAGGTCGTCCAGCCTCTTGCCATCTCACTACTTCCCCATGTAGAAATCATTGACAATGTGATTTGATGACCTTCAAACAAAACACTCTATTCTATTAGGAAAAGGGTAATGGCATAATGCTTTACAAATAAATTTTAAAATACAATCTTTTCAATTGGCTATTCTGATTCTTTCATTTGAAAGAAAAAAAAAAGGCCCCTCATCTTCTATTTGTAACAATTAAATCCTCAGACTCTAACCAAAGTTTCAATATAGTCCCTCTATTACTTAAGCATGTTTTAATGGCATTAAAGAACAAAATATGAAACACTTTCACTCAAATTTCACATTAATCTTTTATGTTTTAATTTTTACTCAAATTTTAAATAATGGGGTGACATGAAGACTACATTGAAACTCAGGTTGTAATCCAAAGATTAATTATTACAATTAAAAGATGATGGACCAAAATAAAATTTACGTAAAAAATTAAAGGGTAGAAAATATAATTTACACTAAAATTGTTACATTATTGGAGTATTCTTAGCTGGCCATTAGCCATGTTGTTGGTTGCCAAAACCTTTAGTTAGAAAAAGTTGTTTTGTTAACCAAAATATAATACAAACACAATTTGACACGCATCTCCTACTTGTAATCCATGTAAAGTTTTTATAAAAAAAAACCAAAAGCATGCATATAGTACATTGATTGAAAGGATTAATTTGACAACAACACAATAGAGGAATTAAAATACAAAGTTAGAAAATACCTACAATGTGTTAGGGCCTTTTGCATATTATAGCATGATTGAAAATTATGTTGGATATTGAGATCAGTCACTACCACTCCACCCAACTCTCATTTTGCATTTTGTTTGCTAAGTTTTGTTGTTATTACTAAGAGTAAATATTAGGTGCAATATATTACGTAATTTTATTTATTATTAGTCGGCAACATTTTAATGTTTGTTTCAATAATAAAGAGATGATTTAGAACAATGTTATACATGAGTGCTACTATCAGCACTCTAATTAATACTTGAAAAATTCTACTTACATTACAATTTTACCTCTTTACACTTATTTTCTTATTACACTATTAAGAAAAAAATAAAATTCTTATTACACCCTTTATAATGCCAAAGTTAACCCTAAATTAAACTCTTTTCATCAAAATCCCTACAGAGTTTTCTCATTACTCCTATTCATTTTGAATTATTTCGGTGTTATGTAACCAAACAAACTATATTTGTCCAGCCATCTGTTGTTGCACGTTTATAGATTCACTTTCCTTAAAACGTTAGGTTTTTTTCCTTCTAAATTTATGATGGGTCTGTTCAATTATAGATTGCCGAACAATTTGGATTATTCTAGTATTATGTTGCCAAGCAAACTAGATTTGTTTAGCCATCTATTGCCGCACGTTTATAGATTCACTTTCCTTAAAACATTAAGTATTCGTAAAAACATGAAGTGTATAAATATCCATAAAAATATTCATAAAATTTGCCAATACAAATATTTATAAAAACACACTGAGTTGTTATCACAATATTATTTATTTATATTGATAGTTTCGGTAGTTACTATATCAAGGCTGACAAGCACGCGGAATTGATCAATACGGGTAATATATGCTTTCTTCCATCCATTAGCACACGGGTGATGAAAGCGAATCTAATTACTTGTTATCAGAGGTACTAGATGACTAGAAAATAGATAAATCTAACAAGTCTTGTCTATAATGAATTCATGATTGTAGTCTATTATAACAATGCACTACTAGCTTTACTGTAATGCATAGAAGCATAATCCTTAGTAAAAAAACAAAAATGTCAAAAAAATGAAATTGAAAATGTTTGGCAGTGAGTAATCAGACATATACTTTTTGTTTAGCCATAGGTTACTGAACAAGTATTTTTTGTTTGGCAGTGTGATTCCGAACGATTTGATTTTGTTCAGTTCTGGTACCCCAAACAAAAGTCAAACAACTCTCTTAAAAAAATGAAACGAAAGCATAAAAAACAAAGAAAAAACTCACAATTTTATTTTTTGCTGGTCCTTCACCACCATTTCTTTGTCCATTGCTTTCTTTTATAATTAAAATACTATGATTTTCACTTTTTGAAAGTAGATGTATAGTAGATAAGAAAAAAATGAGAAATGAAGAAAGAAGTAAGGATTAAAATGTAATGGGTGTAAAGAGATAATCAAATCTACTTAGTTTTTGCCTTTTATCTTTAAGGGTAATTTCACGCATAGGTAATATTGTAAAAAAAAAAAAAAAAAAAATTCTCAAATGGTGGGTGTAAAGAGGTAAAAGTATTGTGTAAGTAGAATTTCCCGTAATACTTTGGATCTCCTATTTCTTTCATTTTTTATTATAATAATAACCAAAAATGAAATTACCAAAAATTACATGAATTATTTTGAGACACTTCATCTCACAATTAAACCCATCCACCCACTAAATCATAACATAGGATTTATGAAAGCACCCGCCTCCATCACTATCTAGACACTTTAAAACCCTTAAAACTTACATACTCTCAAACCTTCAAAACCCTCCAACGGCTAGTCTTCTAGCAACTTCCGGCGGCAACGGCGACAACTATTCAACAGTATACACTTCTCTGACAATGGCTATGATTGAAAGTTTTTTTGGACAACCTCAATACCATGAAATGAACGGAGCATCACTATGTAACCTTAGAGGAGGTTCACAACTTGGATAATATTTGTAACTAGGAGGAAGTTGACCCTGTAATGATCAATATTTTCAAAAATACAAAAAAGTAATGGTAAATACAGT